CCGTCCTCCTCACTTACTATTGTTGTTACTATTCTTAGCCGGCTTTATTTTGGAGAACTTCCCTCGCAAAACGTTCCTAGAGCTGAGAAGGGAAGACAAAAAAAAAGGACGTTATTATTATTATTAACTTTCTCTTTTTTTGTTGTTTTTGTTCTTGATTCTCGACTCACCACCAAACCTCTGGAAGGGGAGATCGCTGATTGTTATAATTATTATTGTTGTCGTTGTTGGAACAATTGAGAGGGAAAAGGCGGTGGGCGAGATGCACTAAGAGGGGCGTCTGAGGGGCACCGCCGCTCCTGCCCCGACCTTGTCAAGACCAGCTGCCAGCTCGTTTCAGGCTCTGCCAACGGAGCCAGGAGGGGCTCCTTTCTCGGTCTCTGCCAGCCCCCGTCGGGGTCTCGCTTGAGCCTGGCGTCCGGGGGGGCTCGCCTTCGTTTCGTCCCCCGGCTCTGAAACCCCGGGAAGGGCCAACTCAAGCAACGGACCTGCTCTCGGCCAACTTCGGGATCGCCTTTCTCCGACACCTCCACCCCACGCCGCCCCCCCACGCCCCCCGCCCCAGCACGACCTCTAGCCAAAGACAATGGTTCACTGCGCCGGTTGCAAAAGACCCATCCTGGACCGCTTCCTGCTCAACGTCCTGGACCGGGCTTGGCACGTGAAATGCGTCCAGTGTTGCGAGTGTAAATGCAACTTGACGGAGAAGTGTTTCTCTCGAGAAGGAAAACTCTACTGTAAAAACGACTTTTTTAGGTAAGTTGCCCCAAAGGGCTTTGCCTTTTGCCTTTCCTTCCTTCCTTCCTTCCTTCCTTCCTTCCTTCCTTCCTTCCTTCCTTCCCTTCCCTTCCCTTCCCTTCCCTTCCTTCCTCCCTTTCCCTTCCGTTCCCTTCGCCTCTTTCTCCATTTTTTACGACACTAATCTAGGCCTCTGGACACGGAAGTTACCCCCCCCCACACCCTCCACCGCATTCGCACGACGCGCTTAACCTGCTCCCTGAATTCAACCGGGTTCAGGTGTCCCGCAAGACGTTGGACCAGAGAGTAAACCTGGCGGTCTGGGCTCCAAGAAGACTTCCCAAATCTTAATAGAATAGAATAGAATAGAATAGGGTAACGCTGACACGGATTGGGCGCAGAGTGTTAGGTCCTTCTCTGACCTGGACTAACGCCTTGTGGGGATCGGGAAGCAGGCTCGTTCCTTCTTAGGAGAAACTCTCTCGAGTCGGTAGGGATTACTTCTGAGTAAATATGCCGGCGACTGCTCTTACCCTGGGCTGGGGGGGGGGGAGATTTACTGGCCGTCTTTGGCATCGCCGCCCAATTGTTCCGCGTCCCGAGAACTTGTCCTTTGACCCTGTTTCCTTCCTCTTCGGCTCCCACGTTCAGTTGCAAACCCGCCCAACGCCTCCTTCAGCGGGGAGATATGCCACGCGTGGGTCGCTTCTCCAGGCAAGAGAGAGAGAATCCTTTCGGCCCGAGGTTCCGCTTCAAAGGCTCTGGGGGAAAAAAAAAATCCCCCTTCGCCGGAAGCGCCGACAGCATTTCTGAGCGCGTGCAAAGCGCTTTCCCTCCCCTTCCTCTTGGGAATTTCCAGGCGGGTTAGGGTCCGGGTCTTTTCCGTCCGACCCAGGCCAGGGCTGGATGGAGGGAAGGTAAGCTCTCGGACCAAGGACGGCCCGGCCTCGTTCAGCGCCTTGCGCGCAGGGGAGATTCCGCTTTTGGGAAAGCGCGATTTCTGGGTGGCCATTGTTCCAGGGTTTCAGGTCGAGCGGGGCCACCGCCGGCCTGGCGAGAGAAGGGAGAAGAAGGGAGAAAGCTTTTAAATGCGGGGAGGGGGGGGCTTGTCCCTTTATCCGCGTTTTCTTTCCTGGAACAAGCGGGACGGCCTTAGGATCCCAGCCAAGCCGGCGCCGCGCGGGGGACCCGAGCCGCGCTGCAACTGAGCTTCCCACAAAGGGAGCCAGGAAAGGGGAGAGTGGCCGGTGTGTAGATAATGGAAAAAAATACTTTGTCTTTCACCTATGTGGAATCTATTGTGCTAGGCGCGTGGGGAGTGAGAGCCCAGATACACGTGTAGAAATAAAGGCGGTGTGCGAATCTTAGATATGCGTGTAGAAATAGAGGCGGGTGTGCGAACCTAGATATGCGTGTAGAAATAGAGGAGGATGTGCGAACCTAGATATGCGTGTAGAAATAGAGGCGGGTGCGCGAACCTAGATCTGCGTGTAGAAATAGAGGCGGGTGTGCGAACCTAGATATGCGTGTAGAATTAGAGGCGAGCAGAGTCGGGTCCACGAATCCATAGCGAGCTGAAAGTTGAACGGGGAAGGGCGTCTATTCGGTTGGGGGAACGGGGTGCGCGATCACCCGGGGGGGGGAAACAAACCCACGGAGAAATCCGGCCTCTGTTCAACCCCCGATTTCCCCAATTCCAGGCCAGGAAGGCCCTGGAGCGCCCCAAATTTAGGCAACGGGTGCGATCCCAACATCCCCGCGTCTTGTGAAGCTGGCCGGAATTATTCCAGGGACGCGCGTTGGAGAGGGGGAGTCGATCCCGCCGGCTTTCTTTCGAAAGGGAGGGGACTACACGTCCCATCGGTCCCAGCCCGCCTCGGGCTTCAGACAGCTGAGGTTGGCATTGTGTTTGTCGCTTGTATATATATATATATAAATGCAAGTAAGCCAATTTCTTCCGGATGGCCCCCGGGGAAATTTGGAGACCCCCACCGAGCTTGGCCTTGGGGAAAAAACGCGCATCCCTGCTCGGCAAAGCGAACCTCAGTCCGCCTGGAAAGGGTCTCTTGAGCCCGGCCTGGTGATGGTCTCGTATTAAATGCGGCTCCCTTTGTTTATTCTATTTTTTCCTAGGAAATAGTTCCCCCCGCGGGTCCTTAGTTTAAAGGTATTAAGGCCTGCTTGCCGGGGAGAAACGCGGAGGATCGGCGCCTCGCCTTCGGGTTTACCGATCTGCTCCGGGAGCGCACGCCCGGCCGAGCCCCCTTGCACCGGCCCTTGTTCGGACAGGGGAGATTGCTTTCCATGGGAGCGAGCGAGCGCTCGTTTAGAAGGGCGAGCGGGGAACGAAAGTTAACGGGAGGCGCGGGAATTGCGGGGCTGTGGGTCGCATTGGAAGGGTGGGAGCGGCGCGCCAACCGGCTTTCAAACCGAACGAATTCGGGAACGTAAGCGAGAGAGACGCGCTTCCCATCCAGGCTGGGTGCAAAAGCCACAAAAAGGGAGCCCCGCAAATGTGCAGAGACATTTTTTTTAAAAAAACAAAAAATTAAAAAAAACAAGGTTTAAAGAAAAACGTGGAGATTCTCAGTCATCCAGGACAGGGTTGTCCCAAAGGTGTG